AGAGCCAGGGTCCCACCTCTAAAGAAACTCTGTCCTGATGGCAGATCATAGTCTCTGGTTGCATTTTTCATTATAACTGTGGGAGACTGGTTCTGGGAAGGAAATAGTTCTTTCTGCCTGCCCGTCTTGACCCTGGTTTCTTATTTCAGAATAAATGATTTTGATCACTCATCTGGACTCTTGGTTTCAGTAGAATGTGTGTGACTGACTTACCTTTATTTCTGTGGAAAAGAGAATCTCTAAAGCAGTGAAGGCCCCCCACTTCATCTTTTTTTTTTTCCCTCTAGCAATAAAGTGTTAACTGTAGAGTTTTTTTTAGCGAGTGTGGAGGAGTTGAAAAGTTTGGATAGGCTTTGAAGTCAGACATATGTAGGTTAAATTCCACCCCTCTATTAACTGTAAGTGCCTATGGGCATGATCTGTTTGAAATTGGGTTTTTGTGATAATTAAATGAGACAATATAAAAAGGTTCCTGCACAGTGCTTGCTTGCTTGGTTCTCGGAATCGTTTCCCATATATTGCAAAGCTTGGTGAAAAATTCTAGGCACATTTTATGCTAGAAATACAGATTCCTTAATACCTATCACTGTGCAAATCACTTCTTTATATTTCATCAGAGATAAAATGCTAAATGTTATTGTTGTTAGGTGCCGTCGAGTTGATCCCGACTCATAGCAACCTTAAGTACAAGAGATCCAAACACTGCCTGATCTTGCGCCATCCTCACAGTTCTTGCTATGTGGCAGTCCATCTCCTTGAGGGTCTTCCTCTTTTTCACTGACTCTCTACTTTACCAGATGTGATGCCCCTCTCCAGGGACTGGTCCCTCCTGATAACATATCCAAAGTACGTGAGACAGAGTCTTGCCATCGTTGCTTCTGAGGAGCATTCTGGCTGTACTTCTTCCAACACAGGTTTGTTCATTCTTCCGGCAGTCCATGGTATGTATATTCAGTATTCTATGCCAACACCATAATTCAAAGCTATCAAATTCTTCTTTGGTCTTCCTTATTCATTGTCCATTTTTTTGCATGTATATGAGGTGATTGAAAACACCTTGACTTGGGTCAGGTGCACCTTAGTCCTTAAAGTGACATCTTTGCTTTTTAACACTTTAAAGAGTTCTTTTGCTGCAGATTTGCCGAAAGCAATGCACCATTTGATTTCTTGACTGCAGTTTCATGGGCGTTGATTATGGATCTAAGTAAAATGAAGTCCTTGACAACATCAGTCTTCTTCATTTATCATGATAAATGCGCATTGGTCCAGTTGTGAGGATTTTTGTTTTTCGATGTTGAGGTGTAATTCATACTGAAGGCTGTAGTCTTTGATCTTTGTCAGTAAGTGCTTCAAGTCCTCTGCTTTCAGCAAGCAAGGTTGTGTCATCTGCATATTGCAGGTTGTTAATGAGTCTTCTCCAGTCTTGATGCCACATTCTTCTTCATATAGTCCAGCTTCTCAGATTATTTACTCAGCATACAGATTGAGTAAGTATGGTGAAAGGATACAACCTTTCCTGATTTTAAACCACACAGTATCTCCTTGTTCTGTTTGAGCAACTGCCTGTTGGTCTACGTACAGGTTCTAATGAGCACAATTAAGTATTGTTTAATACCCATACTTTGTAGTGTTATCTATAATTTGTTATGATCCACACAGTTGCATGCTTTGCATAGTCAGTAAAACACAGGTGAACATCTTTGGTATTCTCTGCTTTCATAAAATTTTTTTGCATATATGAACATTTATATAGTATTGATGTATGTTTGGGTATTGTATGCTGAAAAGAAAACACAGAGAAGGAACTCACATTGAGTGGTGGGTGGTGTTAACCAAGAAATGGTTTGTGCGGTATCAAGATACTCCCCAGGAGCACTTTCTCCTCACATCTCTTCTCTGCTGCCAGTAAATTTATGGGAGCATTCCCAAATGTTGGGGTTCCTCCCCACCTCTAGAAGTTGAGCTTTAGGATGGAAACCCTGGTGGTGTAGTGGTTCAGAGCTACGGCTGCTAATGAAAAGGTTGGCAGTTCAAATCCACCAGGTGCTCCTTGGAAACTCTGTGGGGCAGTTCTACTCTGTCCTATGGGCCGCTATGAGTCGGAATCGACTCAACGGCAAAGGGTTTGGAAACCCTGGTGGCGTAGCAGTTAAGTGCTACGGCTGCTAACCAAAAGGTGGGCAGTTCGAATCTACCAGGTGTTCCTTGGAAACTCTGTGGGGCAGTTCTACTCTGTCCTATAGGGTTTGCTATGAGTCGGAAACGACTCGATGGCAACGGGTTTTGTTTTTTTTCTCATGATTAGGGTGGGTGTGTGGGGCATAAAAAGACCTACGGTAGTAGGGTGTGACTACAATGGTTTATTGACCTCTTTCCTCCTATGGATATTGACAAATGGCTTAGATTCTGAAGGTGACTTCTGTTTTCCTTATTTAGTTCACCAACTCTGGAAATTAATTTTGGATTGAGCTGCTGCTATGCTGATCTCTTGTGAAGCTCAGAGGTTCTTGAAATATCTGCCTATAGATAGCTGCAACCAGATCTAAGTGGGTAGGACCATTTAATATATTACGAACATTATCCCCGTGGCAACCTCCTGCCTCCTCCCCCTTAAGTTCAGACATTTACCACTTTTTTTCTGTTACTAAAAAACATGTCTCTGTTGGGAGCATTTCACCTGAGGACTGGTAACCTTTTAAGATGTTTAAAGAAAAGCCAGGAGTTATAAGTTGGTATGATTATGATATTAATCATACTCTTTAGTAACAATTTAAAACAAATTTTTTAACTTCAGAATTTCATATACTTTGGAAGTGTAGTGTTTGAGGGTGATTTTGTAGGTGGGCATTAATCTTTGTTATTGTATGTACCGTTATTTCCAAAACCCTAAGATCTGTCTTCAGTTTTTTTTTTCCTTTGAACATTTTATTGTGGTTTGGGTGAAAGTTTACAAAGCTTCCCATTCAACAATTTATATACATTCTGTTTTGTGACATTAGTTGCAGTCCCCTCAATGTGACGTCATTCTACGCACTTCCTCCCTGGGTTCCTTGTTTCCATTTGCCCATCTTTCTTGCCCCTTCCTGCCTTCTGAACTTTGTTTTTGGGCAAATGCCGCCCTTTTGGTCTTATTTGGTTGATGTTCTGAGGAGCACGTTCCTCACAGGTGTAATTGTTCACTTTATAGGCCTGTCTGTCGTTTGGCTGAAGTGATTCCCAGGAGTGGGTTCTGTGAATTGACTCCAATGCAACGTGTTTGGTTTTCTTTTTTTTTTTTAAGGGCCTTAGTCTTGGGGGTTCCACCAGTCTCTATCAGACCAGTAAGTCTGTCTTTTTTATGAATTTGAATTTTATTCTACATTTTTTTCCTGCATTTTTCTCCCACTCTGTCTGGGACCTTCTATTGTGATCCCATTCAGAGTGGTTGGTAGTGGTAGCCAGACACTGTCTAGTTTTCTGGTCTCAGGCTAGTGGAGGCTGTGGTTCGTGTGGTCCGTGAAACCTTTCGACTGATTGTTTCCTTGAATCTTTGCTTTTCTTCGCGGTGAACGGGAAGAGCCCACTAGTTGTGTCTTAGATGGCCCTTGCAAGCTTTTAAGACCCTAGTTGCCTCTCAACAAATAGGATATAAAACATTGTCTTTACGGACTATGTTATGCCGGGTGACCTAGATGGTCTTCCAAGACTATGGTCCTAAGCCCTCAAGCCCAGTGACTCAGTCTCTCAAGGTGTTTGGGTATGACTAAGAAGTTTTCTTAACTTTGCCGCCTGTATACTTTATTATATACGTGGATATATTTGCAGCACATACAAATATGTATGTAGAAATATCCTCTGCCAAACCTATATATGCTTGTTGGTGTATTCCCATATGCCATCCCACACCTGTTCAGCTTACATATTTACTTATATATCCACTCATAAATTATTATTTGTTATTACTGTTATGGCAGGATTGTGTGTGTAATAGTATTTACCACTGTTGCCTTTTACTCTTGCATGCCTCCCATTGTCTTCCTTTGTCTTGGTCATGTTGTGCTAACCTTGGAAGAAAGACCTGGTGATCTACTTCTGAAAAATTAGCTGCTGAAAGCCTTATGTAGCACAGTTCTACTCTGACACATACGGGGTTGCCAAGAGTCAGAATCGATTTGATGACAACTTTTTTTTTTTTCACTCTAAATCTCCTTTTTACAAACCCTTTTCCTACTCATGGCCTTCTTCCTTCCTTCCTCAGCGTAAAGTTTCCTGATCAGCCATTATACTCACTCCCTTGAAAAGAGTCTCAGTTCCCTTGTCTCCTCTTCTCCATTTGTTCTGGTACTTAACCTGGCAAGACCCCATCCTTGGTTAATTCAGTTTTCTGCCTGTTCCACATTTGTGCCCTAGGAACTGATCTGAACACAACCAGCTTGATTTTTTTCATGACTATAAGGTAATTAGTTTGCTTCAGTTTTGTTTCTTTAGAAATGATACTATTACATACTGTTGTAGGGGAAGAACATCACAAAGTCTAGTAAAGCAAAAAGTAAGTTTTATTTGGCATATATTCAAAAGGGCAGAAGTGGGAATCAGACAAGCGTGCTGCTAGAGCCATGTCTGCCCGAGTCCAAAGAATATTCCAGAATAGACAAGAATGGGAAGACGGACAAGCAAAAGCATGCTGCCACAGCCATGTCTGCCCGAGTCCCGAGACCATTACAGAGCCATCAGTATAAACATTACAAATGAACAAAACCATTGAAAGCTTAGCCTTTTCAGATTGGCCAGAAACTGTGATCCTACATTTTGAATTGTCTTGCTTAACAATCCTTGGTACAGGTTTCAGTAATGAGAGTCAGGAAGGTCTTCACTGGTCCAGCAAATTTCTATTCACTAAATGCTAATGGAAAAAGGCAAGAGTAGAAAGTCTTTTGTGTTTGATTGGCTTTATGTGAAAGTTTCCCTAAAAGATATTTTACAAGATTATTTTAGCTATTGTCTTTATACCTCAGGGCCCAGTTGATGTGTCCTTGTGAGTCCTTGTGAGCCCAGCTCCAGCTGGGTCACATTCTCTGTGCTCAAGGAGAGGGAATAAATGATTCCAATATCAATTTCCTAAATTGATACCTACCAAACAAGGCTGTTTTCTTTGCCTGAAGTGCTCTTCTTCCCTCAGATAGGTACATTGCCCCCTGTTTCTCTTCCTTGTATCTGCAGATACCACTTGCCAGAGAGGCTCTCTCTGACCCCCGATATAATACAGCTCCTTCCAGCTTTGCCCCAGTCACCCTCTGTTTCTCTTACCCAGGTTTATTTTTCCTCATAGCATTTATCATCAGCTGGTGATAACTAACATACACATACATGTTTGTTTTTGTCTCCCTCTCCCAATGAATTTGTAGATTCTGTGAGAGCAGCGACTTAGGCTTGTTTTATTCACTGTTATATTCCCAGTACTTAGAACAGTATCTGGTGCGTAGTAGATGCTCAGTAAATCTGATGACTGCAAAGTAGAAAATAACCAAAATTTACTGTCTTCTTGCCTTACAATTTAACCTGCGTAAATTGAAAAATATTTACATCTACTATGGGAAATGGGTTTCACATTGCCTGACAACTCCAGTTGCTTTTTGCTGCCTAGAGTGAGACTGGGGCTCCCTGGGAAAGAGAACCTTGATTATGCAGCAGTGGCTGCTGGGCCAGGAGAGAGGAGAGTCGGGAAATATGCAAAGTACTTGCCATTCCTAATGCAGCGAGGCACTGAAAAATGGATACATTTTTCGCCTCCATTCTTTTGTAGCTCTGGCTTGCTCTCCTTTGCCCCTGGGAAATGTTGGTGGATACTTGGGGTTAGGTTGGAAAGGCTTTCTGTTTACAGAATGACATAGAAACTAATAATTCTATGGTTAATAAGCATGGCACAAATGAGTCTCATAGAAATGTCAGAATCCGACAGGACATTGTAGGGGGCCAGTATACTAGCTGCTGTTCCATTGAAAAATAATCTTCATTTGTTTATCTAATATGGAAAATTTTTCTTTGAAGTTAATTAAAAATGATTTTAAACCTGTCTTTTTCTTCCTTCTAGATTCTTTCTGAAATCTGTTCAACTTTTTGAGCACTATGAATAACCACGTGTCTTCAAAACCATCTACAATGAAGCTAAAACAGACCATCAACCCCATTCTTTTATATTTCATACATTTTATAGTATCACTTTATACTATTTTAACATATATTCCATTTTATTTTTTGTCTGAGTCGAGACAAAAATCAAACCAAATTAAAGCGAAGCCTGTAAATTCAGAACCACAGTCTGCATACAGAGCTGTAAACAGTTTGGGTGGTTTGGCTTCAGTTTTATACCCTGGATGCGATACACTAGACAAAGTGTTTACATATGCGAAAAACAAATTTAAGAAGAAGAGGCTTTTGGGAACACGTGAAATTTTAACTGAGGAAGATGAAGTGCAACCAAATGGAAAAATTTTTAAAAAGGTAAGTTGATCTCTAATTTCCTTTGAATAAAATGTACTTTAAAAATGATGCCGAGGGACAAGCACAGTCTGTTTCTTCTGGAATTTGCTGATGTTGCAGGGGAGGAAGGAGATTAGACCATGCTTCAGTCTCTTTCCATATGTACCAGCACTCACTTGTTCTGAATTTTCAGAAAGACAGAACGACCAACACTGGTGTGGCACACTTCTGAACCTAGATGTCCTCCAGGGCTTGGATTAGAATGACTAGCTCTGTATGAAACCATCATCTCTGGTAGTTCCAGAAGCATCTGTGTGCTGGAGATGCTCCAGGTTTTGTGATGTGACCTGCTGTCTCTGATTTTAATGTGGGTCGTAGCGGGTGCCTGATGTCCTGGTACTTCGGTTGTGGCAACTGCATGCTTTTTAAAAATTCCTTTACACATGTATAGAAGAACCTGCGATTGTTAATCTGAAATGGAGTTAAGAAATCTGTTAGAGCCCGGATAACATTGTGGCTAAGAGCCTGGACTCTAGACTCAGACTGAGTTTGAATCTTGGTTTTAATCTTGGCTTTACCTAGCTGTGCGCCCTTATAGAAAAGTTAATGAATAAATTTGCCTTAGTTTCTTTATAATAATGGAGTTTGACATTTATTAGCATTTTCTATGTGCCAGGTTGTTTTCAGAGCTTTACATATATTAACTTACTTAAGACTTACGGTGAAGGAGCCCTGGTGATACAGTGGTTAAGCACTTGACTGCTAACTGAAAGGTCTGTGGTTTGAACCCACCAGCTGCTCTGAGGGAGAAAGATGTTGACAGCCTCCTTCCGTAAAGATTATAGCCTTAGAAACCCCATGGGGCAGTTCTACTCTAACCTATGACCTATGGGTTGCTAAGAGTTGGAACTGACTTGACTACAATGGGTTAAGACTTAACAATACCCCTGTGAGTTTCTATTACTCACTCATAGTGTTATTGCTTTGCAGATGATAACATTGAGGCACAGATAGGTTAGGTACCTTACTCAAGGATACTCCAGCTAGAAGTGGTGAAGCCAGGACTAGAATCCAGGCCTTCTGGCTCCAGACCCTATACTTCTTGAGTAACCGTAGCTCAGAGGGTTGTTATGAGGATTAATTCAAGGTGTGTGTTTGTGTGTTTAATGTACATATAAAATGTGCTTATAACAGTTTGTGGCATGTAGTATAAATACTGTAGCTTTTATTACTGTGTTACTGTTATCGTGGGAATTCACTGTGGAAAATTTTATTAGTGAATACAAAGACTATAGAGTAGTGCAGCACTATGAAGGATAGTAAGTGTAGAAATGGCACAAAAATGCGATTTCTGAACTGGGCACATGACTTTCGTATAAGCAGTTCTTGAAGATCTGGTAGGTAAAAATTGAAAATAGAGTCTGTGTAGAGGCGGTAAGATTATCTGTCGTTGCTTGATAATTTGGTTAAGACGTAGTTTTAATCCCTGCGTAGGCCAGGTTGTTTTCTCTCATCCTTCTTTTCCGGCTACCTGACACCAACTTTTTTTTTTTTTTTAATCAGTCATGAAGGAACTCTCAGGTCTTGGAGAGTCCAAATTAGAGTCTCCAAGTCTGGGGTGAAAAACTCAGAGGGCCTCCTGTTACTGGAGGGCCGGGGGTTGATGGTGAGCCTATTTACTGGCCCGTTAACCTTGCCACTTACATGCAAATTCCATTCCCCATTTTCCACTAAATATAGTGGAGATGGTAAGCAACATAATGTCACTGACTCCAGGAACGTAAAAACGTTGTTCTGACTTTAGACAAGAGAATCTAAACATTTCTCACGTTGAAATAGGGTGATCGTATGTTTTGTTTTGCCTGAACAGTCTTGATTTATGCCTGTTGTTCTGACATAATTATTAATAGTCCTCCTTTACAGTCGCAAAAGTGCCTTGATTTAGGTAAATTATATGGGCACCTTTTATCCCATTATCATTGGAATTCAGTGGGAAAAATTATATTAGTGAATATAAAGGCTTTACATCATGAAGTAGTGCACCACTGCAGGAGAGTAAATATAGAAATGTTATGAAAATGCTATTTCTGAACTGGACATGTGACTTTCTTATAAGCAGTTCTTGAAGCTCAAAGCTCTGATAGGTACTTTTGCTGACATTGTTTTGATTCACTTAAATGAATTTTTTCTACTACATTGACTTAACAGCTAGCTGGAGTTAATAGGACATTTTAAGAAATTGAAGTCATGTAGTTAAGCATGTTTGATTATTCTTCTCTAGCCTATAGATGATAATTTGCAAAACATTTATCAAATTGAAGTTTGCTTTTGTCATATTAATTGATACTTTTTAAGGCACACCATTCTTGAGTCTGTTCATGAGAACAAAGTCCAGTTACATTTTTATGTGCTGAATCTTTCCACTCTTCTGTTTTCTCTGTTCGTCTCATAGCATGTCTAAAAGGTAGTCATTTTTGTCTTTTGATCTAATATGCCATTTGAATTCAAAGTCCAATCATATATAACGGAAGCCCTATTGTAGCAAGACTTTTTCTCCAGTATCCCTCTCATTATGTACATTTCGTGGGGCAACACTTACCTTTCAGTCATTGTTTAATATAGTGATAATGTATAATGAATAATGTTATTATTCAGTACTTGCAGCAGCAAACTAGTTCCTAGGTATGGAAAAAGGAGAAACGTTTGTGTAGGGAATATGGGATTCCTTCTTAAGTATCAGTATAATCAGGAAAAATAAAATTCCAGGGCTACCATAGCTCTCTAAATTTGACAGATAACGCCATTAGAACAGACACAAGAAAAAGGTACGTGTATGTGGCTCGTAACATCCTGTCTTGACCATGTTGCCTTTGCATTCATTGATTATTCAACAAAGCAGGAAAATTTTGAACCCAATTAGGAAAGTTAAAAAGTGAGAAAAACTATTTTTAGTCAGCAACTTTTTCTGTGTATAGTACATTACTATGAGGTTTTGTTCAGCACTGGGCATTTCTGGATTTCCATATGCCAGAAGGGCTGCCTACCAGAATCGGCATTTGTGGCTGGTCAGACTCTGTTCTGAATGTTTTCTATACTCTGAGCGAGGAAGCTTCTCTTTCTTGTTGCAAATAAGGATCATTGGGAAAGTAAAATTGATTTTTTAGGTTTTTTGTGTCATAAGTGACGCAAATGGATTTTCTGTTAGCCTTACTCAAGAGGAAGGTGTGTAGTACTACTGGTTAGCTAAGGCTTTAGTTTCTGTCAGTCCTGTGTTACAACTGGTGCAGTGGTCTGCAGACTGGCCAGTGGGTATCTCAACTGACTGAGAAACAGGCTAGGCTTTCACCCCTTGGTTTCTTGTTACATCCATTGCATTGCAGCAGGAGCAGTATCTGCTGTGATAGGATGTTGAAAAGGGGGCCTTGTACAACTGACTGTAGATGGTACGAGTGGAGTTGCTTAGGCAGTGTGGCGTCTGCCAGTAGTGGCAGCTAGCGGGCGAGAGCTCAGAAGGGAGGTCATAAGACATGATTGTGATGAAGTGTATCTCAGTAGTTTCCCTTTTGAAGATAATCTTTAATTGAAAAAGAGAGCTAATGGTGCAATATCTAAGTGGCCTCCCTGTTTTGGGGGCAGGTCTTTCTACTATAAACCCAAATTATTGGATTAACTCCAGAATGTATCAGATAATGGTTAAAACAAAGACTCTCAAACCTTTATTTCAGTAAATGAACTCTGAAGCTTTGTTTTCCTCTTATCCTCAAAGTCTATTTTGAGCTCCCAAGGGAAGATAAGAGGAAAAAAAGGCAGTGATGATTCTGTTCAAACTATGCCAAAGATGGCGTGGCCACCAGCTTCGCTGAGACAAGCCTCTTTGAGGGGTGCAGATAGAGAAACACAAGGCAAAGAAGCAGAGGCTGCTGTGTCCTTTGGCTTGCCAAGCCTTCTCAGTTCTCAGGACTATTGTCCCATCAATTTAAGTTTCATATGGTTTTATAAAACTAGTGGAATTAGGTATCCAAAATGTGTTTCTTTGTCACCTAATTCTAGCCTTTCCAGCAGTGAATGCTGTCTTCCCGAAATGAAGAACAGTGAAATGACTACTTCCCAGAACATCTTTAAAATACGTGTACCTGAAATAGAACAAAGTTGCAAAGACCAAGAATAATTTTACAGTGAAACATAGAAAAGGGCACAAGACTGGCTCAGACATATTGTGAACTACTACTGGAAATCATTTTTAATGCTTTTCCTTAGATTTTTATACACATTAGAGAAAAGAGAAAGGGATTATGTAATCATGGTGCTCAGGAAGAGATTTCACTATGACATTTCTTCTAGATGGATCCAAAAAGACGATAGCACTACCCATTCTGTCCTTTTGAGTTGACTGACCTCTCTTTTCCTTAATGCCTAGTCTGTGTTGATTCTTGCCCTGTAGTCACATTTTTTGCCTTATGTGCGTATATGTGTGATATTACTTTTCTGATTTATTAGGACATTTTACATCAAATGGTTGATCTTTTGGCCAGGATATGTGGTTTGGTTGTTAGTTATTTTTAGCCACAGCTATTGATTTTCCTTTCCAAACTTGTTCTTCTCCCTGTCACCCCATATTTGTTAAGGGCACCACCATGCACCGTATTGCTCTTGCACAGACTCCAGTGACTCTTACAGGCCTCATGCCTCCCACTCCTGCCCCTGCTACAGTCCCACCTGCACACAGCAGCTAAGGTGATCTTTTACCGATGGTTAACCAGGCCTCCTTACCCCCGCTGCTTAGTAAGGTCCCAGTTCTCTTCCACAGTGCTGTTGAAGCATTGTGATGCCTATTTAGACCTTGGAGTGAATCTGCCTGGGGTCATATTCTATCTAGTCCAGTAACTGTGTGATTTTGAGCAAGTTATACTTACTCTCTCTACACTTTAGTATTCTCATCTGTAATATGCAGATAATAATCGTAACCATCTCTCAGAGTTATTATTAATACTGTTAGTAAAGGCTAACTGCCCTCATTATTATCATCATCGTAAATATTACCAACCATCCCGGATCTCTTGAATATTTCCACTCTCTTTGGCTCCCTCACAATACTTTGTTTATAATAGTGATCTTCAATTGAAAAGAGAAAGGTGAAATGAAGTCAGGTATACTTTTGAAATATTTCTATCCCAAATAGCTAAAGTAAAAAAGAAAAGTCTTAGTGCTTAAGGAGGTTAAACTCTGAGCTACCTGGAAATTTGATCATTATTGAACTGTCTGATCCTTCAGAGTTCTGAATGGTCAAGTTTTTGCAGTGCTTTTGTTTTATGATATGTTCTATATGTTATCTCCATTTAATTTTTATAGTTTTGAGGTAAGAGATCAGCAGCAACGTCAAGGCAACTAATTTCATATGTTCTTGAACAGAGTAAATTATAAGGTTCCTGTGTCTCAGGAAGTTATAGTCTGAATGATAGCATTGATATTTACATATGTGTATGTAACATCTGTCGCAAGAGTATAGCTAACTAAATCTAAGAGAGGAATGACCTTAGGACCATCTTAACCCTTCCTGTAAATTGGCATATGAGGAAACTGCTCAAAGACTACAGATAGTCATTCACATAGGCACACTAGCCTTTTGTTTTCTTAACTCTCAGTCTGAAAACAGAACGTGTTTATGTCACATGAGTAAAGGGTAAGAGTAAATATTTATGAGGTGGTAGGCAAAGGATGTGTGTGAGTGAATGGAAATCAGAACAAAAGTAGCATGGCCCATGGAAATTAAATAAACTCATGTGGATATATATACATATATTTAACCAATCTTTTTTAAAATGAGGCTGCTAGAGAGGAGAGAGTTCAGATGACTCCTTCAAGTCCCAGAGTGAATTGAAGTTGTGTTTAATTACACCATCCACTCTGCACATTTAGCAAATAAATGCCAAGTCCCTTCTTTGCATCAGATATAGTTCTAGACACTAGGAAGACAATATGACCAAGTCACCTAGGTTATTCTTCTTGTGGGACTTATATTTCTATGAAATATTTATATCCCAAATAGCTAAAGTGTGGGAGGAAGAGAGACAATAAATAAGCAGTAAGTTAACAGAGTAAGTACTATGAAGAAATAAAGCAGATTGGTAGAAGCCTGTCTGAGTAGGTTATAGTTAAGCTGAGGCCTGAATGACAACAGAATCCAGCTTTGCAAAGATCTGGGTAAAGAGCCTTCTAAGCAGTACGACAGGATTGTGTAGTGGCTCTAAGACAGGAATAAGCCGGCATTTAGACCCTGGGGGTGAGTGAGTGCCTCATTAAAAAATGTCCTGAGCCTCATTCTGGTGCCTGCTCTGGCCCAGTCTGTTTGAAGAACAGAAGGGATAAAGTTGTACTTAGAGGAAGTGAGTCAAGGGAAGAGGGTTTGAGGTAGGCACAGAGACAGGTAGAGTAGGACTTTGTAGGCCAGGGTAAGGTGTGTGGACTCCATTCCCAGTGGAAAGACACTGCAAAGTGTTAACCACTGTTTTTTTAAAAAAATCACTCACAGCTGTAAGAAGAATGGGTTATAGGGTGACAGGAATGGAAGAAGGTTGACCAGTCAGCATGCGTTAGTTTTGGGGAGAGATGGACTAGGATAATAAGAGTAGAGGTGGAAAGAAATGGCTGAATTTGGAGTTTATTTTGTAGAAAAAGTTGATAGAACCTGCTGATGGATTTAGAAATGAGTTGTGAAGATAAACATAATGGAGAATAACTCCTGAGTTTTTGTCTTGAGCGAGTTTGTGGATGTTGTTACCCTTTACTTCCTGAATGGCTAGGAGAAGAGAATGGGGGAGGGAGCGTGAATTAGAGTATGTTGTTTGGGGACATACTAAGTTTACGTTTCTGTTAGACTTTTTAGTTGCATATTCAAGTGAAAAAGAAAGTGGCTGTCCAAATGGAGGTGGTCAGGGTTGGAGATAGAAATTTGAGAAGCTCTTTGAAGCAAAGTCCTTGAGAAGCTGACTTTTGTCATGGACAGATTCAACCACTGTAACACAAGGAACCACAAAGAGTATGGGTAGAGGTGTATTATGTAAGTTATTAAACTTGGTGATAGTAAGATAAGGGAGTTTCTGTTTAATTTCTCAGTGAAGTATGAGACAGTATTGTTACCTGGGATTGGAAGGGAGGAGGAGGAGGGCGGAGGATATTTGAGTAGAAAGATTTCAGATAGCCTTTTTTGAAGGTGAAAAAAATGAATATACTTGGGAAGCATGGTAGGATCATTGGGTGGTGAGATCCGTGATACTGGATTTAAAAAAGTTTGAGAGTTTTTCTTCAGTAGTTCTTTAGCAGTATAGACAGGGAATAAAGAAATAGTTGAGTTTAATTGTGGGTTGGAATTCCCATAGGGACAAAGTTGGGATTAGATAAAATTATCAGGTAGATGAGGTCTTCCAAATGTAATTTTTATGGAAAAGGTAACTACTAGAAGTTCAGTGGTTTAAAGAATTGAAATAACAAAATCGAGATTTTGGTTTATATATTTTCTTATATATGAAGAAACCATATGCTTGAATTAAACTCATGGTTTGATTTCTTTGCCACATGGTGGCACCATCACATGAGTTGACGTATTTTGGATTTTATATCACATGCCTTTTCAGAATACACGTATGCTTTGAGATTTATAAAGTCCCGTCATTTAAATTCTAGAATCTAGAAGGCATCTCATGCTTATCTTTGGAATGTAAAATTCTTAGTAATTGTCATCTAGTTCTTGCATGTTTTGGCCAAATTCTCATCTGTCTTTTCACCCTCACAGAGCTCCTTTTGAAGTCATTGGCGCTCCCCACGCTGAGCATTTCATGGGGGTGTAGAGCAAGGTGAGAGTTTGGGACCACGAACGTTAACTCTAAGCGTCATCTTAAATACATTTGCCTTACCCATCAAAATAAGAATTTATTTCTTAAGTCCATTATTGAAAAGGACAATAGAGGGCAGCATTTATCCTTTTTCCATTTTTATCTGTCATCCAAGCTCTTATTCCTAGAAATCTCTTAAATATTGTTTGCAAATGAATGTGGTCAGATGGTTTCAAGGTGTGTGAGACATATATAACACAGCTATGTTTGGGAGCTATTTGTATATTTTTGCAGTGAGAGGAGTTTTTTATCCAGTCTCTATGTCATCTGAGTTTTATGGTCTGATGTAAGTTGGAGAAAAGCCCTAAGGACAAAGAAGATTTAAAATGGGGTTACGACTAATGCAAGGAGACCTGGCAGCACAGTAGTTAAGCGCATGGCTGCTAACTGAAAGGTTGGCGGTTCGAACCCCCCAGCTGCTCCTTGAAAGAAACATGGCAGTCTGCTTCTGTAAAGATTACAGTCTTGGAAACCCTATGGAGCAGTTCTACTCCGTCCTATAGGGTCGCTAGGAGTTGGAATCAGTGTTGGATGGCAGTGGGTGAGTTGGATGGCAGTGGGTGGTGATGGTGAGGAATAATGCAAAGTTAATGTTACCTGCACTTCTGATTAAACACAAATTAAATATTGAAAGATTGAGGATACCAGTGAGCATTTAAGTCGTCAACTGAGGGACTTTATCTGGTTGAATAAATAGAGACTTGTTTACTTTGCTTATCCAGAATTAGAGACAGTTCAGATTGAGTAACCGTAGTTTTCTTAACTTGGATAGGGCCATTTTCTGTTTGTGGATCATATGGTACCACCTGCTATTGAAATTAGGAATTCATAAGTAGAGGGAAAGTAAAATTTTGGTACCAATAATACTTGTTAACTAGACTAAATTTTCAGTTAACACCGAACTCATTAAGTAACTGAAATCTGTAAGTAAATATTAACATGACCATTTGGCCAGGAAGTTGACCTTTAAGATTCCATCAAAAGCTGAATATTTTTGGGAAAAAAATAAAACAAAAAACAACCCCTCACCTCAAAATACCCTTGCAGGTAAAGATTTAGCATAAGATTTGAATTGTCATAGAAGCTGTCACAAAATAGCCGATTTTTTAAATGAAGAATAGATTTTTCATTTGAAATTCACTTTCTAGTTTTTTATTAGAAAAAAAGTATATGCAAACATAACTTTCTGATTGGTCATAAAATTTGGAACACATGCTGCCCGGTTTCTTTTTGTAAGTTAATATTTGTGTTGTATTAAAAGCTACTTATATTTTTTGTTTTATCAGGTTATTCTTGGACAGTATAATTGGCTCTCCTATGAAGATGTCTTCATTCAAGCCCTTAATTTTGGAAATGGCTTACAGGTGTTGGGTCAGAAACCAAAGACCAACATTGCTATCTTCTGTGAGACCAGGGCTGAGTGGATGATCGCTGCACAAGCATGTTTTATGTATAATTTTCAGCGTAAGTAGACTTTCTTATCTTTTGCAAGAGAAGACTTAAGCCTTTAGTGACCCAGTTATTTTCTCCTTTGAATTTTTTGTTCATACCATGTGTTTTCACTAATGGAAGGCATGCTGATTAAAGGATCAATTTAGAATTTTTGTTATGAGTTACAGATTTTGACACCCATTTTCTGGTATCACGTATGTCCCAGCAGACTCCATGATACCCATTGTCTGGGATCACATATGTCCCAGCGGACACCAGGATGTAGTAAATTGTACTGATATGAGTCAGTGAATGTGTGATAAGAATAACTTACAGGAGTTCAAATCTCCTGAAAAGTACCACTGCAATATATTATTCCTTTTTGGAAAGTCATTATTTACTATTCAGAAGCTAGAATAGAAGGGAGCCAGTAACACCTGGAAGCAATGAATGACATGAAGGAGAAAATGGCTGCTATGAGTGAATGAAGACTGGCAGTAGTTTATTCTCATAAGTACATTCTCGCCAGAACATAGTAACTGGGAGTTACAGTGAGGAGGCTTATCTCACAGAAATAAAGGCAAACCTGTCAAAAATTCAGAAAATTCACACATTTGGGAGATATCATCTAAGACAGTGTTCAATCTACACGAAAATGAGACTCTCAGGATTTTTGAGTTTCATGCATTTCAAAAGGCTCCCACCTTGCAGCTAAACTTGTTAAAATTGGGTTACCTCCTTCCCAAAGAACTCCAGGGGCATAAAAAGTGGTTGGGATGCCTGTGTCCCACAAGTCCCCAAAGAGTTAATTTATCATGGGAGAGATGATACTAACTTTATCATTCTCAAGAAATTAAAATTCTGATGTTAATGGGTATTTTTACCTTGTATCTAGTCAGTGGAGAACTCTGTTATAACTTGGATATTTTGGTCCATTTTGGAGAAGGAACCAGTTGTGGAACAAATTGAATAATCAAATGTGGTGAGGGAGCTTGAATCTATTAATAGGGGTCTTTCTGGGTCTAGGGAGAAACCTGTATAGCCCTTGGACCAGACTGGTACTTCAGGCCATTATTCTCCATGTCTTCCAAGAATCTCCTTTTCAAGTTACTGTCTTTTTTTTCTTTTAATGCTACTTTTGTCAGTGCTGATGGTTGACCTCTAAAACACATCCATATTCAAACCTAGTGAACTTCAAGGTGCTAGGTTAGACAGTAGAGAGTTTTATATTGTACTTATTTGATGGTAATCATAATGGCTCATTCTGTGAGGTAGTCCTGGGAACTTAGCCCTTGGTCTCAGGTGCCAAAATGTGATGCTAAGTATGGACATTGTATCATTCTTCTACTGGATATCTTGCTGTAAATGCCCCACTTTTTTTTTTTTTTTAAACAGGCATACCCTTTTGTTTTCAGATTTGGTTTATATTATGTTACTTTTGAGAAGCTTTAGAAGAATTATCTTTTTCAAAGTCATATTATGTCTAACTTTTTTGAGTTAGGTAGAAAGCAAATAAAAATCCACATTATTTATTAACATATAATTTCAGCATTTCTAAGATTTTTTTATTTTTTTTAGACATTCTACTTTAGAAGCAGTACTTCTACTTGTTTATGCTGTTTTCTTATTAACATTTAATACCTTAAGCATTACATTCAGTGTAATATTGAACATTGGTGTATGGTCTTTTTGATATTTTAGTACCAAGTAGTCAACAATTTGGAAACTCTGGTTGTGTAGTGGTTAAGAGTTCGGTTGCTAACCAAAAGGTCGGCAGTTTGAATCCACCAGCCGTTCCTTGGAAACCCTACGGGGGCAGTTCTGCTCTGTCCTGTAGGGTCGCTATGAGTCGGAATCCACTCGACGGCAATGGGTTTGGTTTTTTTTTTTGGTTAGTCAACAATTAAGAGTTAGAAATTTAGAAATCAGTTATAATTGCTTCTTAGTGTGATAGTCACAGGGTAACAACTTAGTTGAAACAAAATAAAATTTAAAAAAATTTTGTTTTTAATTAAATGTTGGAAATCTTGGGGGAAACTGGGGGAGGGTAAGTATAATGTTAATTAGTATATTGTAATAGTAAAGTTAAAAAAAAAAACCCCGCACTGTTTCTCATTGACTATGGATTTAACAGTTTAGGGTTCAGTATGCTCCATTAAAGGAGACCTGGTAGTGCAGTAGTTAAGAGCTTGGCTGCCAACCAAGAAGTTAGCAGTTCAAATCCACCAGCTGCTCCTTGGAAACCCTATAGGGGCAGTTGTACTCTGTGCTGTGGGCTCGTTGAGAGTCGGAATTGATGAGGTTTTTTTTTTTTTTTTGTGGTGGTGGCACAGTGGTTAAGTGTTCGGCTGCTAACTTGAAAGGCCAGGGGTTTAAACCCACTAGCTGTCTGCAGGAGAAGGATTTGGCAGTCTGCTGTAAAGATTTATAGCCTTGGAAACCCTATGGGACAGTTCTTCCCTGTCCTGTAGGGTCACTATGAGTCAGAATCAACTTGTTGGCCACGGGTTATGCTTCCATTATCATTCCTGTCCACTTTTAGTGGCTATTTATTAACATTTGGCGACTCCATGAAATGTTTGAATATCTGACTTACCTTCTTTTTCCCTTAGTTGTTACATTATATGCTACTCTAGGAGGTCCAGCGGTTGTTCATGGATTAAATGAAACAGAGGTGACCAACATCATTACTAGTAAAGAACTCTTGCAAACAAAATTGAAGGTGAGGGATGTAGTTACTGCTTAATTATGTCTGATACTTTAGAATTTTCAGTGTCATGAGCCCTACTATTAATACTTAGTTTTTTATGATCTTTTAAATCCTTAATATCTTTGTACGCCATTATGAATGTCATAATTTTGCTTTTCATTTACAAAAGAAAAATTAGATTTCATATATACTGAATTACAGCATCCAGAGAATTACATGTTAAATGTTAATGTGCCTATGTCTAAGTTGAAGCAATTATGACTGCATTTTCTTAGTTAAGTTCATCTATTTTTTTGTCTTTTCTCAATAAATAATGTTATTTTAACAGTTATTTCTAAACTAGCAGTTTATTTTTTTCCTGAAGCGTTGAGTAATTATGAGTGTTCAGAATTTTAAAGGGAAAAAGGGGTTTCTTTAGTCTCTAGACAACTCTGTTGAAAACATGGAGGGACTTTGGCTACCCTAAGACTACACCCTAGAAAACCCTGTAGGGCAATTCTGCTCTGTCACATGGGGCCACTATGAATCGACAACATAATTCAGGCAGCCTGTCTGTACCTGCCCATTGTTCAAGAAGGTAACTTTGTTGATTAGGATTTTTAGTAAAGAACAAGGGTACACATAATAAATCTAATGCTAGAAAATAGTAATTTCAATTTCAGACCAATATTTCTCCATTGGAGAAAGTGATATTTATGCCAGTGCATCCCTTCCCCTTGCTTTTTTTTGAGGAAGTAAATTAATCACTGAATATGGCAAATTACTTTTCTTATGTCCTGGGCTATTTGCTTAAGCTGTTTGAAGAATAATGAGGAAAATGATGACTGTTTGTTTCTCCAGGATATCGTTTCTTTAGTCCCACGCCTGCGGCACATCATCACTGTCGATGGCAAACCACCTTCGTGGTCCGAGTTCCCCAAGGGTGTGATTGTGCACACCATGGCTGCAGTGCAGGCTCTGGGGGCCAACGCGAATGTCGGTACGGCTCAGTTTTATGACTCCTTACGTACGCTCTGCCGTGTTCTCACCAGGCTCCCCAGAGTTATTTCAGGTGTTTGATCCTGAAGTCAGATCAGTGTCAAATCAGGTTTCTAAACTGTCACCCTGGGAAATAAGGCTACCATAGGTATACTTTTAATTTAGCATCTTAAGCAAAGTTTTAAGAAAAAATAGGATCATCAATTTATTAATGTTCCAAAAATTGTATTTATTTGAAATTAATTTAAAATACCTTTTCTTTTATATTATTCAGTTTTGCCACTTCCTTTTCTGATGGTTTTGGATGGTTGAAGGTTAGTTTTATAAATGACGCCAGTAGACTTGTCCTATGTGAATTACCTGCAAGTATTAACAGATAGCTAGGATGGCTAAACCAGCCCTGCCTTTACTCCCTGCTCCAACTCTACCCTTTCCAGAGTAGACAGCTTTTTGTCCTCCAACTAGCACACCTAGTCATGTTGACTCAAGAAGTTCCTACTCTCAGATAAGTGTCATAAATGTTAAGAGAATGCACTTATGTTTAGGAATACCGTGAAGCCTGCTGGGAGGTGGGACTGTATTCCTCTCTAATTGGAAACTTAGTGATTAATTGGATATAAGCATTCATTCAGCATGGATAAACAGGGAGAGGAACAGATTTTCTTTGGGGTGGGACTACACAGACATTAATTTTTAGCATGTTGTATTTTGGTTCTGGTGGGACATTCAAGTGGAAGTATCCAGTGAGTGGTGCCATATACAAGTCTGGTACTCCGGGGTTAAGTTTGCAGTTAAGTGATTTAGAAGCTAGAAGTGTTTAGGTTTTAATTATAGGTGAGCTTACCCACAGAGAATGGGGAGAGCCCCAAAGGCCACTGAGGAATGGTCAGAGAAGAAGGAAGAGAACATGCAGTGTGTGGTTTGTGGAAGGGAAGGAAGGGAGCATTTTGTGAGCCAGGAGTCATCAGCAGTACCAGTGCACGGGAGAAGTCAGAAGACAGGGATTATAAAAGGGCCATCAGACTTGGCAAAAGTCAGCTTAGAACAGTTTCCAATAAGGGGCAGTGGTGGAGCATGGCACTGTGCATTCCAGAGTGATTGGAAGGCTAGGAAGTAAAGACTTGATTGAAAGCAGTTTTAGATAAATATATCTGGGTAGGTAGGAAGGGAAGGCTAGTAGCTTGGGAACACATTTAAAAAATTTTTTTTCATATGTTTTTGAAGCCCACATGTAGGCTAGTTCCAAGATTAATTCAGACAGATTAACAGTGTCGTTCATGACTTTCTTTGTCTTGCAGCTGTGCCATCCCTATACCATGCTAGCAACTGTCCTTAGGCAGTACCCTTTGTGATTGCATCTTTTAATCCAGGACTCTGAGTTATAACCAAGTTAATTTCACTGTTGAGGAGCAGAGAAAATTTTTTAGCACATTGTTTAGGCCCTTTAGCCCAAGCCACCTGTATTTCTTTGTTGAATCACTGGAATTACCTTCTCTCTCCCTGCTTCCTTTCTTCCCTTTCTAAAGTAGCCACACAACAAGCCAAAGTGATCTTTGTCACAGATGATGACACACCCCAATTCAAAATGACATTGCTTCCCATCTCAGAGTGAAATGTGAAGTCCTTAAACATGGCCTATAAGGCCCTGCACGATTTGGCCCCACCTGCTACTTCACCTCGTTTCATCTAAATAGCATCTACTGTCATCTTCTCACCTTGTCTTGCTTTGCTTTTCTGCACAGCGCTTATTACATTATAGGTTTATCTGTTTGTCTTTCCCAGTAGAATGTGTGTTCTTTATGTCTAGGGACTTGATTGCTTTTTTTTTTTCCTGACCCCTGTGTGACTACAAACGGAGCCTTGGTGGCGCAGTGGTTAAGTGCTGAGCTGCTAACTGAAAGGTCAGCGGTTCGAACCCACCAGCCACTCCATGGGAGAAAGATGTGGCAATCTTCGTCCATAAAGATTATAGCCTTGGAAACCCTATGGGCCAGTTAAACGCTGTCTGATAGGGTTGCTGTAAGTCTGAATCAACTCGATGGCAGCGAGTTTGGGTTTTTGGTTGGGTTTGAATGACTACAATTAATATTTGTTGAACTGAGTTAACAGATATTAAAATGTCAGTGATGTGGCGGAATTTCTCAGAAGTGTATTTTTTTTCAATATAGAAAACAAACCTCATAGCAAACCACTACCCTCGGATATTGCAGTGATCATGTATACAAGTGGATCCACAGGACTTCCAAAGGGAGTCATGATCTCTCATAGTAACATTATTGCTGGTGTAACTGGGATGGCAGAACGGATTCCAAGACTGGGGTATGTCATAGTAAATCAGTACTGAGTAGTTCAGTGTTTATGTCTGTTGTTATAATGTGAACATTTGTGTTATTTTAGTGGTCTAGTTAAATTACTCCTTCGAAGTCTGTTTATGGTAGGCATTTCCTTAAAAAAAGACATTAAAATTAATCACAAAATAGTTAATGATATTTAAAACTATAGTTTATGGATATCATTGTTAAAATTTACTTACCACTTTAAAAATGTAAATTTTTAGTAACTGTAGTTGTAAAAACTTCAAATTATTTAGATCAGTTGTTGTTGCCTCTGTAGTTATTTTTAGACCTAAGTATGTTATAATTTAGGTGAATAAATAATATATACAGTAAGTACTTATTAAGTGACCATATTTACAGACTAATTTTTTTAAAGATAGACTCCAGTAGTAGCACGGGTGGGTATATTAGATGGCAGTGAGGCTGATGGAGGAAACCAGATGGAAGTTTGAAGATTGTAAGGGAACATTCCCCGAGATGGAATTGGTGACTGATGTGGTCTGGTGCAGTGGGTTGGATTACTTTGAGCCTTGGTGGTGTAGTGGTTAAGAGCTCAGGCTGCTAACCAAAAGGTCAGCAGTTTGAATCCACCAGCTGCTCCTTGGAAACCGTATGGAGTGGTTCTACTTTGTCCTGTAGGATCTCTATGAGTTGGAATCGACTCGACGGCAACAAGTTTATGCACAGAAATTTTACATTCTTTGTGCATTTGTTTAGGATGGGTTACTGTGGGATTGAACTTGAGGATAGAGAGAGAAATTTCTGCTTGTGTATGCATAACTTACAGAAAAAAATTACAAGTAACTGTTCCCTATAGGTTTGCCTCAGTTGCCTCTCCTGTTTTGAGGGTGGGGGAAGTTGTTCAAATATGCACATATACATACACATTTTCTTATGTATTAAGATAAAGTTTATTATTTATCACTTAATCCAAGTCTAAGTACAGGAACTTCTGTAAAATTCTTGGCAGACAGTTGTGGATTCTGTTTGAACTCTTTTGGTTAGTAGCCCATTAGCTTTAGAGACCATTTCCTCCTTGGATGATTTCTTCTGTCCTTCAAAAGAATCCTTCATTTTTTTTTTCTAGCCCCTATTCCTTCTGATCTGAGAGGAGCCCTGGTGGTGCAGTGGTTAAGTGCTCGGCTACTAACTGAAAGTTGGGTGGTTTGAACCCACCAGCCACTCCACCAGAGAAAGATGTGGTAGTCTTCTTCCGTACAGATTTACTGCCTTGGAAACCTATGGGGTGGTTCTACTCAGTCCTATAGGGTCATATGAACCAGAATCGAGTCCATGGCAACGAATGGTGGTTTGATTCCTCCTTCCTTAGCGTTTTGCATCTGCTGCACTCATAATTAACAAGTGCCTTCAGGCAGGCCTGGAAATCCTGCACCTGGAGCTGACCGCACCTTTCTTAGGGTGTATCTCTTCTCAGTTTTATATTGAGCTGTAGCTCTTTTCCTCTGACACCCCCCACCCCATACACATAAACTGCGCTTGCACATGCATACTCCACCAGCAGGGAGCCCCAGCTGATGCCCTGAGACCCTCTTTGTGCCTTTCTAGTGTGTTTCTCACAAGCCTGTGTTTAGCACTGACTTGCTCTTCGTTAAAATCACTCCCTGTCATTGTGCAGCAGCTTCTTATGTCTCCTTTTTCTTTTAGACAGGAAGATGTTTATGTTGGCTATTTGCCTCTGGCCCATGTTCTAGAATTAAGTGCTGAGCTTGTCTGTCTTTCTCATGGATGCTGCATTGGCTACTCTTCACCACAGACTTTAGCCGATCAGGTATGAGAAATGTGTGTGACTTGAGATACTAAAAAGATCATTATTTGTAACACTTTTTTCTTTTCTTTTCTATAAGCATGACAGTATATTGTAAGAGTGGCAGTTGCTCCTTTTAAAATAAGTATGCCCTTTTAAGTGCTTATCCAAATAGAAATAAATTGAAATGATGAATTTATGATATGATCTTTGAATTTTAAAAATAAGGATCACTTATGTGGTTCCTTTTCTCTCTGTAGTCTTCAAAAATAAAAAAAGGAAGCAAAGGGGATACGTCTGTGTTGAAACCAACACTCATGGCAGCTGTTCCGGTAAGACTGACCATTATTTAATACTGAGTACTAAACAAGTATTTGCTACAGAACATAATGCTTTAAAAAAAAAAAAAAACGTTGCTGTCGAGTTGATTCTGACTCATAGTGACTCTATAGGACAGAGTAGAATTGCCCCATACGACAGTTTTCGAGGAGCACCTGGTGGATTCGAATTGCTGACCTTTTGGTTAGCAGCCGTAACTATTTTAACTACTATGCCACTAGGGTTTCCACATTAATGCTAGTGGAGAGGATATTGTTGTCAAGTTAGTTTATGTGTGATTTATTCCTTATTGATTATCTATATTGCTTTAAGCCCTACAGGGTTTATTTGATCTTAGTTTAGCTTTATTTTTTTTTTTTATCTTCCTTATGAAATGTCCAACTTAGTTTCAGCTTTTATGTGATATTATCTGCTGCCTTCCCTAAATAGCTTCTTGTTAAAACCATTTTCATGGTATCTGTTTGCTGATGAGTAGAAACCTGAAGCCAGCAGGAGATGGGAGGGAAGGTTTGAGGTCACCCCCTTCTAAGCAAATTGTGTCATTACCTCCTGAGTGCTCAGGGAACACCTGGCCTAGACAAAGAAAAAAGTGACAGGGAAGCTGGTGCAACTTTGAATTACCTGAGAAGGGCTGTGCATCCTGATGCAGCATCAGGATAGGCAGATCAGTAGCAATGGGACAGCCACAGAGCCCTGGTGGCACAGTGGTTAAGAGCTCTCAGCTTCTGACCAGAAGGTTGGTAGTTCAAATTCACCAGCTGCTCCTTGGAAACCTTATGGGGCAGTTCAACTCTGTCCTGTAGGGTCACTATGAGTCGGAATTGACTCGATGGCAGTGGATTTGGTTTTAGGTTTGGGCACAGCCACGGTTTTCTGGCTCCTCCTAATGTGGCATTTCTGTGGCTTTCTAATTTTGTTTGAAAAGTATTGGAGATTCTTACATTGTCAGATACTTGAGCACTTAACATTCAAGCATAATTACATAGTTATTCCAGAGCCAAATATAAATAATTAATGAATAGCTTTAGAGTTTCTGTAAGTATAGTTAGAGTTTACTAAGTAATATCCTACTTGAAATGCTTAGGTCTGTTAAAAATTACACGTAATTAAAAATTATAGAGGAAAAAGCATTTCGAGTTATTAAAGTGTAATTCATTGCAATAAACCTAGCAAACAAAATGTAATGCAGACAAGGAAATTTCCTGGGTACAGCATTAAAACACAAAAAAATCCCATGGTCCTTTTGTGAGCAAAGAATGGGATAACCTGTATGTTTATAAGATAAAGTTGTGAGATTTTAAAAAAACCATCTTAGATAGTTGTTCATTTATTTAGAGTGTTCAGAATAAATAAAAAATGAGCAAAGCATTGTAAAGAATCAATAATGTATTCCTTCACTGAGGCTTTTATTTCTGTTACTTCTTGTTCATATTTGTATCTAGATATATTTTTGCTGTCAAAACAATTTTTGTTTGCAGAGTTCTCATTTTTAAACTAACTGTGGCTTTATCGTAAAATATTGGTCTTGATAGATCTTTTTATAAAGTGCCTTAGTAGAGATAGAAATATAAATCTGATGTTGATTTGAAAGGCAGCTAATAACATAATTAACTACATTAACACATTTTTATATATATAGGAAATCATGGATCGAATATACAAAAATGTCATGAATAAAGTGAATGAAATGAGTAGTTTTCAACGCAATCTGTTTATTCTGGCCTATAATTATAAAATGGAACAGATTTCAAAAGGGCATAGTACTCCACTGTGTGACAGGTAAGTACAGTATCTCTCTCTGTCTCTCATTAATAGCCTGGTTAATTAACATAGTTATAAGAAATAAATTGATTTAAAAAAGTCAAAAGAAGTCTTTAAAAACAGTTTTTTAAAAAATCTGCAATATTATTTGAAAAAAAAATTTTCATTCATGATTTAGCTGTATTTAATAGTGTGTCCATATTTTCTATGGACACTTACATGATTTTACTTACTTGGAGAAATGATTTCTCTTTGATTTTAAGCTTACTTCAGTCTGAACATAAAATGACAGCCAAATGTGTTTAACTAAATTTTGACCAGTTTTACCCCAGACTTGTTATTTTTGTAGTGCTAGCAGATTAAGTAGATTTATCATTTTATTATAAAATAGTTTAGAAATTAGACAATATATGACACTCATTTTTTATGCAGATATTAATATAGTTTTCACATGCTTCACATTATGTATAACTTTTAAATGTTTTCTTCGCCTGATTTATCTTTAGTTATCTCTCTAGCTGAGATACATTACCTGCCTTGGGAAGTTTGTGAATAATTATGTTTTTAAATTACTGCCAATTGGTTTTTACCTTTTTCAAAATTATTTAAAAATAAAAAACCTTCCCCCTTTTTTCCTCATAGTAAGCGATCTTTTCTATTAATGTATTTTCAGAAAGAAACATAGCAATTAGATGTTTGGATTGTTGGTTTTCTTTTCCTTGTTCCTCATAGATAAATTTACCAGATTTTTTGGATGATACAACACTTTAAAACTTGAATTAGTGAAATTTTAAAAGGAACCAAATTGCTATATATGAATATATACATATTCCTAATAAAGTGTGCTAAAGCAGACAGTTAATTTGATCTTAACATTAAGTTTTATAAAGAAATAACAGGATTATTTAATACTAATACATATTGCATAATGTTATATATGTATAATAACAATGATAAAACTATTCTGGCCATAGCAAGGGTTCTCCATTACTATACAAAAATTAAACCCAGAAACTTTGAATTCAAATATTACTTGAAAAGTTCTTTTTCTTTCTTGTGGTAAAAAATTTCTCATATTAACCATTTTTTAAGCGCATAATTCAGTGACATTAATTACATTCACAATGTTGTGCAACCATCACCACTATCTATTGCGAGACATTTTTCATCACTCCAAAATTCAGTACCCGTTATCAGGAGCCCTAGCTCCTAATAACCCGAATTATTTAACTAATAAATACTAGGAAACTTTTACCTTTTCAGGATACTCCATATAAGGGAATCATATAATATTTGTCCTTTTGTGTCTGACTTACTTCACTTCCCACAATGTTTTTAAGGTTCATCCATGTCATAGCACGTATCATAACTTGATTTCTCTTTATGGCTTAATAATACTCATTGTACATATGCACTTGAAAAGCTCTTAAGATCATGTATTCTTTACCTAGTTGAACTATTAAAATTTGAGATTTAAGAAGTGGGTTAGAAGAATCTCCTGAATTGGCTTTCTGACCTTGGATAAGCCGCTTAATTTCAAGATCTCATATGTCAAAATTGGGATTAGTCTAAAATTCCATTCAGCTTTAAAATCTTGTGATTCTCGATTTATTTTTAGGTTTGTTTTCCGGAAAGTACGAAGCCTGATAGGTGGAAATATTCGGCTTCTGTTGTGTGGAGGTGCTCCACTTTCTGCAACCACCCAGCGATTCATGAATATCTGTTTTTGCTGTCCTGTGGGGCAGGGATATGGCCTCACCGAATCAGCTGGGGCTGGAACAATTACAGATGGTTAGTGTTATCCCTGGAACAGCATGTCCAGCAGAGGCTGTAACAGCTTGTCCAGCAGAGGCTGTGTTGCAACTCCAGGCTTTTTTTTGTAGGGGTTATTTTCTGCAAATACATAGTAGAAGGGTAGCTGAAGTGTTTGCATAACAAAATTATGATAAATTCCAGGTACTGTGATTATCAGTATCAGTTTTTACAGTGTATTAGGTACATCTGTAGTCATTGGCCATGTTAATAATTCATCACAACGAATAAGGAAGACAGAAGAATTGATGCATTTGAATTATGGTGTTCGTGAAGAATGTTGAATATACCATGGACTGGACTGTGAGAACAACGAACATATCTGTCTGGAAGAAGTATAGCTAGAGTGCTCCTTAGAAGTGAGGATGGCAAGACTTCTTCACGCTTACTTTGGACATGTTATCAGGAGGGACCGGTCCCTGGAGAAGGACATCATGCTTGGTATAGTAGAGGGTCAGCAAAAAAGAGGAAGACCCTCAATGAGATACCTGACACGGTGGCTGCTCCAGTGGGCTTCAACATAGCGATGATTGTGAGGATGGCGCCGTTTTGTTCTGTTGTGCATAGGGTCACTGTGAGTTCAGACTGACTCGACAGCGCCTAATGTACAAACACAGCATAGTCATTGGTCATATTAATAATTCATCTAGAGGAGTTTTTCATGTTAAACTATGATATGTAGTATTAACAACTATCAGCAATCTGGAAGAAGTTTTAGTAACACTTATTGGCTATATTGTATATATTTTTCTTACATGAATTTTAAATTCATTTTTGTCTGGTTATTTAGGTATTTGTATTAAGGCTCAGATTCAGAAATGTCTATGGGAGGGAGGGGTCTGTGTAAGTGTGGAGGGAAACCAGATTCAGATCTAGATGATCCACCACGGAATCATTGATTCTCAGATGAGTCCCATAGTGCCTCACATGCCCCTTTTATGAGAGAAAGTTAGTTTGCGTTCCAATACTAGAGAAAGTTAGGCTTCCCCTAGTTTGTGTTTTCTAGATATGGAAAGATACTAAACCTCTTACGCAATCATTTCCCTCTACTTACTTTGAGTGCTCCTGTGTACTACTCTCATGCCAGGTGTATCTTGCATTCCTTCATTTTCCTTTTACCAGTTACATTTTGTATATTTTATATGTTTTTGTAGTTACTTCTAAATCTTATTTTGCAAAGAATAGACAAAGAGTGTCCCTTTTTCTTCTGTTGTCAGTACCTAACACCTAACAAGATCATCTCAATTGGTATTCCGTCAGTTCCTGGAGCGTTGTTTTTCGCCAGTGCCTTCAGTGCAGCTTGGACTTCTTCCTTCAGTACCGTCGGTTCTTCATCATATGCTACCTCCTGAAATGGTTGAACATCCGCCTTTTCTTTTTGGTACACTGACTCTGTTTTCCTTCATATTCTTTGATGCTTTCCGTGTCATTTAATATTTTCCCCATAGACTCCTTCACTATTGCGAATTGAGGCTTGAATTTTTTCTTAGTTCTTTCAGCTTGAGAAATGCTGAGCATGTTCTTCCCTTTTGGTTTGCTAATTCCAGGTCTTTGCACATTTCATTTTAATACTTCACTTTGTCTTTTCAAGCCGCCCTTTGAAATCTGTTTAGCTCTTCTGTGTGATCATTTCTTCTGTTCGCTTTAGCTACTCTATGTTCAAGAGTAAGTTTCAGAGTCTCTTCTGACATCCATTTTGGTGTTTTTCTGTCTTTTTAATGACCTCTTACTTTCTTCATGTATGATGTCCTTGATGTCATCTCATAACTCGTCTGGTCTTCGGGCATTAGCATTGACTGCGTCAAATCTGTTCTTGAGATGGTCTCTAAATTCAGGTGGGATATACTCAAGGTTGTACTTTGGCTCTTGTGGACTTTTCATTTTTTTCAACTTCAGCTTGAACTTGCATATGAGCAATTCATGGTCTGTTCCCCAGTTGGCGCCTGGCCTTGTTCTGACTGATGATACTGAGCTTCTCCAGTGTCTCTTTCCACATATGTAGTCTGTTTCCTGTGTATTCTATCTGGTGAGGTCCATGTGTATAGTTGACGTTTATGTTGTTGAAAAAAAGGTATTTGCAATGAATCATTCATTGGTCTTGCAAAATTCTGTTGTGCAATCTATGGCCTCATTTCTGTCACCAATGCCATATTTTCCATCTACTAATCCTTCTTCATTGTTCCCAACTTTTGCATTCCAAGCACCAATAATTGTCAGTGTATCTTGATGGCATGTTTGCTCAATTTCAGACTGCATAAGTTGGTAAAAGCTTCAATTTCTTCATCTTTGACATTAGTCATTGGTGCGTAAATTTGAATAATGATCATATTAACTAGTCTTCCTTGTAGGTCGATGCATATTATCCTATCACTGACAGCAGTGTACTTCAGGATAGATCTTGAAATGTTCTCTTTGACAACAAATGTGATGCCATTCCTCTTCAGTTTGTCATTCCCGGCATAGTAGACCATATGACTGTCCAATTCAGAATGGCCAATACCAGTCCATTTTAGCTCACTAATGGCTAGGATATCGATGTTTATGCGTTCCATTTCATTTTTGACGATTTCCAATTTTCCTAGATTCATACTTCATATATTCTATGTTCTGATTATTGTTGGATGTTTGCAGCTGTTCTTCTCATTTTGAGTTGTGCCACGTCAGCAAATGAAGGTCTCAAAAGCTTTACTCCACATCATTAAGGTTGACTCTACTTTGAGGAGGCAGCTCTTCCCCAGTTGTATTCTGAGTGCCTTCTCACCTGAGGGGCTTATCTTCTGGCACTGTATCAGACAGTGATAAGATTTTCATTGGCCAGTGTTTGTTTTAGAAGTAGATTACCAGGTCCTTCTTCCTAGTTTGTCTTAGTCTGGAAGTTCCACTGGAACCTGTCCATCATGAGTGACCCTGCTGGTATTTGGAATACCAGTCATATAGCTTCCAGCATCACAGCAACACGCAAGCCTCCCCAGTATGACAGACTGACAAACGAGTGGTGACCTTTCTTCTAAGGAGCCCTAATTTCTTATGTCTTTTTCTTTTTTTAATTGTACTTCAGGTGAAGGTTTACGGAACAAATAGTTTCTCATGAAACAGTAGTACATACATTGTTCTCTGACATTGGTCAACAACCCCACGACATGTCAACCCTCTCCCCTCTCAACCTTATTTTTTTTGGTGAAAATACACATAGCCAATGATACATTATTTCAAAAATTTCTACATGCACAGTTCAGTGACATCGACTGCGCTGTTCCAGTTGTGCTGCTATTGTCACTTTAGATGAAGGTTTACAGAACAAAATAGTTCCTCATTTAACAGTACATATGTTGCCCTATGACAATGGTTAACAACCTCACAACACATCAGCAGTGTCCTTATTCAACCTTGGGTTCCCTATCATCAGCTTTCCTGTCCCCTTCTGCCTTCTAGCCCTTGTCCCTGGACTGCTGTGCCTCATTAGTCCCATTTGGCTTTATTGGGCTGTCTACTCCCCAGCTGAACAGTGAACCTTGGAAGTGACTTCACCACTGAGCTAAAGGGGTTTCTGGGGGCCATACTCTCAAGGTTTCTCCAGTCTCCTTTAGACCAGTAAATCTGGTCCTTTTTTTGTGAGTTAGAATTTTGTTCTACATCCTTCTCCAGCTCTGTCCAGAACCCTCTGTTGCCATCCCGGTCAGAGCAGTCAGTGGTGGTAGCTGGGCACCATCTAGCTGTACTGGACTCAGTCCGGTGGAGGTCTTGGTAGCTGTGGACAATTAGTCCTTCGGACTTATCTTTTCCTTGTATCCTGTTCTCTTCATTCTCCCTTGCTCCTGAAGGGATGAGACCAGTGGAGTATCTTAGATGGCCTCTCACAGGCTTTTAAGACCCCAGACACTACTCACCAAGGTAGAATGTAGAACATTGCCTTTATAAACTGTGTTACGCCAGTTGAGCCTGATGTTCCCCAGGACCATGGTCCCCACAGCCCTCTGCCCAGCGAATCAGTCCCTCAGGGAGTTTGGATGTGTCTATGGAG